TATTATTATTATTATTATTATTATTATTTCATTTAGTTTCTATTATCTACTTATTTTCTGTCGGATCTCAACTAGTGAACAGAAGCCAGAAATGGAACCATGATATTTTCCCCGTCTCATTTCTTAAAATTGTTAGTGGAGCTTCGACACCAAAGTTGCGTGTCGATGCTATCATGAAATTTAATCGTGTGAATAGGGAAAAAAAAATCAAGAAACATTCTTATTTTCTTAATTTTCATGATGAGTTTTCTCTTTTATTCGAAACTAAAAGGAAAGGAAGTTGTTATCAAATTTCCGAATCTGGGCGATGATGGGAAATGGGATCACCAACAAGCCCTGCATACGACTGAGATTTACCAGATATAGAGATTGACTGAGAGAATACACTCAACAATATATATATATATATATATATATATATATATATATATATATATATATATACCTGACAGTTGTGTTTAAGCATGAAACAGACCATTCGCCGGTGGGTGTTGGCCTCAGTGTCCACTTTTATTTTTAGATACACTTTATCCCTAATACTGAGCACTTTACTCGTAAATAAAGTATTAGGAAGCAATAAAATTGTCCTCAAAGCTACACACTTCATCGATTATTCCTTATACATATACAAGACACTATGCTAAATTTGAAGGTCGAGTTTTAGTCTGTATCATTTGCAACTGAAATTGAAGCATTTACTCCAGTTGTGTTGGTGCATGTTATGTACATTGTACAATTTTGATATTTAATTTTGTTCATTCAGTAACTCTTTCTCTTTTCTTATCAGGTTAACTGATCATTTTGCTATGACGATAGCTACTTTATTAATGAGGGCAGCCACATATCATGCAGTGTTTGGATCTGCAAGTGTTCTTCCAGTGGGCAAACTTCTCTCGAAAGGTGAGATGTTAAAGAACTACTGGCGATATAAATGTGATGAAAGAAAGTTTGCAGATGTCTCAATGATTATCAAGATGGCAACCCAAGATTATTTTGCAAAATATTGGAAAAAAACATTTTGGACATAGATCTACTGTTCCTCTTCTTTTCCAGAAAAATTCTGAGGAAAGGTTAAGTAAATTATACAGTAGAGAAATTGAAGTTAGTAAGAAGAAGAATGTGGGAAAAAAAGCTGCATTTCCGAGAGAAATGAAGGAGTTATTTGATATCTGTAGGTGTTACACTTCCCACTGTCACCTGTCAGGATGTGAAGTGCAAATTTAAGAAGTGTAACGAATATCACTTGACCTTTAATTGTTATACAAAATTTTCCAAACTGAAGGTGCAGTTCTTCCTTGACGAGGTAATAAGATGGAAATTGCATGAATTGACATGAAAGTGACGATGATGTAGGACAGAGTGACGTTAAGAGAGAAGCATGATGCGGACAGAGCAGGCAGACTGCTTGGTCAAAATCATAGAGATCTAGTAGCTGGATATATTCCTTAGGTTGAGGATAATTCTAATAAATCAAGTGATATCCCTCCTCTTAATAGTGATGCTGATTTTATCCCCGATTTAAAAGCTCTGACAGACAGCAGTTCCAAGAACAGGGCATGACTCTCCACACTGGCTGCCGTTTGTGACCGATACTTGATTAGTGATTATGTTGGAGCTTCCATTACTACTGCTGCCTTAACAGACTATGGTATTGTCACAAAGCATGACAAGAGTCAAGTTATTGGACCAGATAAGCTCCGAGATACGAGGTACAAAATACCAACTAAAGAGGTCAGAAAATCAGATGGCTAGTTTTGAAAATATGATGTCACTGTATTTTGATGGCCATTCGTGTGATGGCAAAAAATGAGGAGATCAATAAATAGAGTTCGAGGATGATGGTGCATGAACATTATGTCATCATGGTTGTGCCTGGCACTGAATATCACAGAAATGTGACTCTCAAGCCTGGACAAGGAAAGCAGATTACCAAAATGGTTCACGAGTTTCTGGTGGAGAATAATCTAAACCAACAGCACATTGTATGTGTTTGTTGTGATGGAAGCAATGTAAATGCGGGATCGAAAAAATGGAGCCATTCACCATCTTGAAATGTTAGTTGGTTACCCGCTCCATTATTTTATCTGTCACCTTCACGGAAATGAGCTGCCTGTCCGCGCTGTTTTCTATTACTATGATGGTCAATCAAGTGGCCCTGAGCATTGGCGTGGTCCCATTGGAAAGCAGGTCAAGGAGACTTTGTCTGAGCTGCCAGTTGTTGCCTTCTGTTTTGTTTCACTGATTTTCCTCTCCTGAATGAAAAAGTTGAGAAAGATCTGTCCTGGGTTCAGACATACCTGAATAGGATTTGTAAAAGAGTTATTACAGGTGTTGTTCATGAAGACTTGGCTGCTATTGAGTCAGGCCCTCCCTGCGTGTCATCTCGGAATATTTTATGGAGTAGACTCCTCAGACTGTATATAGGAAAATCAAGACCCAACCGTTAGATGAAAAGAATTGTCATTACACTATTTATATTATTCGGACTATTGTCCTCATCTTTGTCGCAATATTTATTACAACGTTTCGGCCGTTCTACGTTCCGGCCTTCTTCAGGTGGTTGGAATGTCGAAATGATCCCTTTATTTCGCTCACTGGGGTAGACTGTTCTACTTCCACGTTTTAATGGATGTCAGTTATCAGTTATCTCCTGTCAATTCCCCTATCTATGTTCTCCACTGTAATTTTTGGGCCCTGTCACTGGATGTAACCAACCCCTTTATCCACTCTGACATGTGTCAGTTAGACATTCCAACCACCTGAAGAAGGCCGGAGCGTACAACGGCATAAACATTGTAATAAATGTCATGGGTCCTTACCTATAACTACAGAATGAACTCTTGTTAACACTATGTATACTACGCCTCTCAAGAGAGAGGGTCGTATCGAGTCGAGCCGATAGTAGTTCACTCCAAACCAGACTGACAGTCATACTAACACCTTCCACATCTTGTATTATTATTTCGTGTAATATACCTTCGTTATTTCTACTCTTGTGTTCTTGTTGTTCTTCCTTTGTCCTAACCTGGACCATAACAGATACATATGGTTACAAAGATGAGGACAATAGTCCGAATAATGTAAATAGTGTACATAATACCTCATCTCAGAAATATAGACAAAACTGTCATTACACTTAAAAAATGCACTTCTGAATTGTGTTTCTACATCAAGGTGCACTCTTACGTAACACAGAGCTCAAGGAACGTATGCTAATCCCTGCTATACATGAAAAACCTGAAAAATAAGTAAAATACGACTGTGGTATAGACTGTCCAGAGAAATGCATATTTCACCCACACAGCTCAACTTCTTGGTATGTGTAGAGATGAGGACGTGACTATTAGATAAAAAAAGCCCTCAATGATAAGAATAACTAGAGAGGAAAATCAGCAGTTGACGAATGCACTGACAGATCTGATGAGGAGGAAGAAGATTCTGGTATTGTTGCTGTTGCCAAGGATTTGTTAAACTACACTGATGATGAGGAGGACAGTGAAGATAGAGATGGGAAGGATGGTATGCCTCCTGTAGTCAACATGGAAAAAGAATGATGAGTCTCAAACTAAAGTGGCAACCAAAAACTATCATTCCACCATTAATTGGATGAATGAACTCACGACTGAGCCTATATATAGCTTCTCTGTAAGATCAACAGTTTAATGACATACTTGAGTCACAATTAGTAGGTCCCAAATGGTCAAACTATACTCAGCCAGACGAACGAGGGATAAAGGAGATTACTGTAGGTTGCCTTGAAATGACAAAAGAAGGATATATTTGTTTATTGTCTAGGAAAATGAGGTCCAGGTTCCGCAAAAAAAAAAAAATCCCTCTTAACTTGCAATTAAACTGATATCATCAATGTACAATTTATTATCCTAGCAAATAATAAATGACATCTAGTTTTTGGTGTGCAGTATAAGCTGACAAAAACACGATCGCGATGCTACAGGGAAAGTGGACAGGAAATGGCCAAACATTTTTCACATGTTTTTGTTACAATCATTAAAACGATGCTTAAAAAGTGCAGCTTGCAACTGAAAAATGTGTTTTTTCAATGCTCCCTAATATAGCATACAATAAACCTATATTTTTATAACATATCTATCAGTATCTCTCTTGTCTATCTATATATATATATATATAAGCAGTATGAAGATTCGATCCCTTCGGTCCTGAAGCGATATAGCGTTTAAAGTGGAACAGAAGCAATTTTTCTGTTTCTCTAATCGACGCTAAATTATTATATTTTTTTCCTCTTCTTCTTATCTTCTTCTTCTTCTTCTTTGTTCTCTATCACTTCAGAAATTGGATAGTCATGGCTCCCCACAATATCCTATCATTTGTATCTCTCAGAATGTTGTGCCTCTCTTCCCCACCCTTTTATGTCATTCATTTACACAATCTACTTAAGTTGATAACACAGACATGTTTTACGTTTATATAGCTCTCTGTAGGCCTTCATTGAACCTAACAGAGATGTTTTTCCTTGAAACCCAAGCCCTCAAATACAAGTGGAAATATTGTTTTCATGCGCCATAATGTTTGCATTTGAAGATCTTTGTATTTTGATAATTGTTTTGTACATTTCAATACTAGATTAAACCCAAGATAAAGGTAGGTCTTTCTTCAACTGTTATTGAACCTATTACATTGAGAGTGTTTGTTTTTGTTTTCTTTAAGTATCTCAGCTGAGCTCATGATTATAATCCCAGATATTGATGTACCTCCAACAATTATTTTTAATATTGTTATCAGCAATTTTTTTTATCATTCTTAGTATTCCTATTAATATATGACGATTAGATTGTCCCGATATTATATTCTGAATGCCAAATTTTGTTGCTGAGATATTTAAACATATATGTGTCTATGATATAGTACTTACCATGTTTGAAGTATTTTTTCTTATTATATTTGGTGCATTGCCTTGTTTTGTGCAGTCAGTATGTATAGTGTAATCACAGAGCATTACAATTTTCATCTTTGATCGGCTTTTGGCTATATCAAGCTGAAACACCCACTCCCGTACGATCACCGAAATTAAACAACTGCCTGATCAGTACCTTGATGAGTGAACACTTGGAAATACCAGGTGTCGTAAGCTTGGATGTGCAGGTGGTGTAATAGATGATGGCTCGGAATATTAATCGGATTGCCGAGTTCTAATTCTAGTTGGATTCGCTATATTTCCTTATATGCAAATACATTTGGTCAAGTTATGAATCCACTTTTTCTCTCCCGAAACTATTGGTTAATTTATAAGACTTTTTCATTAAATAATTATTATCTACAAAAATGATACTTGCAATCTAAAATATTTTCTGGAATTAAAAAACTTGCAACGGGTTGATAAGTCGTAAAAACTAATCAGTCAATCAAAAATTATTTTCGACCAATGCACATTTTTCTCCGCTAAATTTCATGTTAACATCTTTTAAACTTTCTAATTCATTTTACTTTTCCGAATCCTTTTCAAGTCATCTAATACTCTACCTCGAGTGGACACCGGGCCTTGTAAAATGTGAACCTGGCTTTTTAAAAACAAAAAATAAACGCTGTCCATATAAAATAAGTGCTGAATGAATTCATTTGATATTAGATACTCGTAAGCTGTGTTATTTATTTCACTTGATAGGAATCAATGCAATCCAGAACAATTGAGACAAGAAGCAAAATTTTCCTTCACATTCTCGTCTATTGATCTCTTAAGTTGTCATAAATGATTTCACTATGAAAGTAGGGTTGGCTTACACTAGGTTTCTGTCTTTCATACAGGATTTTTAAAATGTAATAATGTAATTTTTATGAACTATTCAAATGGAAAACCGTCTTTATGATCTAAGCCATGAGGAACTCTAGCAAATTTGTCTTACAGTCTCTCCACACAGTGCTTCGTTTCACTTTATGAAATGACAATTTTTTCCAGAAATATGTTGTTGATAATTAGTTGATCTTTGCAAGCATGAGAAACATTTTTTCATGCTTTTGATTCTTCATGTAGAATGTCTTTTCCGTCTAGAAACTGATACATTCTCTTTGTTAAAATTGGTGCTACTAGTTGAATCTAAGTAGGTTAGTAAATTAATAGGGATAGCAATATCATCAGATTTGGGGATTACTTATACAATATTGTGCGACAGTCTTCCTGGCTTTTATTCTGTATCGTTGATGGCCTCAGCGTAGAGATTTGCTCATGATTTGTCAATGGATTTAAATACATTCAGCATGATTATTTCATTTTTATTAATTTTGAAGGAGATTATTCTAATTCCTTAATATCTATGTTTCGCCCTTCCTTTTCCTCTCAGTGTCAGTGTTTTTGAATTAATTCTGTACTCTTTTTATAATTCTCTTCCTTTACTATTATCTTATACCAGAACTGTCTTAATTCTTCAGGTATTGGTGCTTTTACTATAGCTTTACCTAACGTTCCTGTTGATTTTTTATTATATTTGTAAATATTCCTGAGTGTGACGATAAAATACATCTGGCAGCAAGGCCTCTGATCGGGTGATTGGATGTTTTGGTGAATGGATAGCCACCTATTAATTGCTGAGTGCTCCTAGATCCACCCTGACACTGGAGTGGTAGCACCAGTTCAGATCTCAGCTATTGGCAAATAGTGAACCACAAGACAAAAAACAAAAACACTAAAAGTATCAAAATAAATATTTATAATAAAATGATTAGCAATACATGTTTAAAGCAAACTGGCCAGCAATACATTTTATGGCACAATTACCAACAATACAATTGCTTTTCAAAATATATTTAATTGAAGTCATAAAGTTTTGGGCTAAATATTTAGATTTCGGCATTGAATAACCCATAAAGGTGTAGATATGCCATTGAACAAACTCAAGCAAATTACTGTTTAAGAAACGGAATGTTCTACTCAAATACGGGTATCCAGTTAAAATGATGTGTGATGCAAGAGAAATATGTCGCATTAAATATTTATTAACTATTTACACACTCACACACACACATACATATATATATATATATATATATATATATATATATATATATATATATATATATATATATATATATTTATTTTTAAAAAAAATATAACACAAGTATGTTACAAAATCACTACAAAAATAGCCATTTTGTTTCAACACACTCTGTGTCTTATCAAGTGATGGTGTTGAAAAGAAAAAAAAAAAAAAAAAATCAAAAAAAATACCTATTACTATATATATATATATATATATATATATAATTTAAATAAAAATAGACCACTTTAAGGTTCAATGTAATAAATTATTACACCACAGCCCTTTTAAAAGACTGCGGATCATCAGACTTTACTTCCAAATTTGAAACAAAAAAAAAACAACAAAAACATACGGATTACCTAGTTTTTCATAAACTATACATATATATATATATATATATATATATATATATATATATATATATATATGTGCGTGGCTGGCCACTCGTATTGGAGGATACCCGTCTACTGAGGCGGCTAGACAATCCCCTACTGCAGAAGCTTGCTCAGGTGCATTTGTGTTTATTCAACACCCACAGAGTCCGCCTGTGTCTTAGACTGCGACTATGCTGAGCACACCATAGATAGAGTTTCTGGGAAAGACCGTGTGATCAACAATTTGATCAAGGCCAGAAAGCTAAAGCTCCCGACTTGACTTGTGAATTCGTGGTAGCACAGTTACCCAATTTCACTCAAAAGGCTTTGGGTCCACCTGTCGCATGATTTAATATATATATATATATATATATATATATATATATATATATATATATATATATATATATATATATATACAGGGATGTCCAGGAACAAAGCCACCCAATCACGGCAACACTAAAATAATATACAAATGCAGTTTTATAGTAAATTACCAACAATAATATTTAGGATAATAATATTTAGGATCTACAAGCCATATATCTAAAAAAAAATCATGTCTTTACCCTGAATCAATAAATGCATGTACAGAATATTTACGAAAATATAAAAATACATTTTATGGTAAAAATACCAGCGATTTGTTTTATATATAAAAAATACAAGCAAAAGATTTATATATAAAAAAATTACCAACAATACATATAGTAAAATGATCAACAATACATTTTATCTGTAGTTAAAAGCATAACATTACATTTAAAATATATTATGTTGAAGCCATAAAATTGTGTTCCAAATATTTAGATTTAGGTATGAAATAACCGATAAATGTTGATATGCCGTTAACTAAAATCAACCAACCAACAATAAATATTTATAGTGAAATGGCCAACAATGCATTTTGCCTCTAGTTAAAGGCATGAAATTGCGTTCAAAATATATTTAGCTGAAGCCGTAAAATTGTGTTCCATTTCGGCATTAAACCCATAAAGGTCGCTAAACAACATCAACCAACCATTGTGTGAAAAACTACCTTCTTTTGTCATATCGTCTTTTTCTGGCTTTATTATGCATTTTATTGTTCTTATATCTTTTCCATTTATGTTAGATTTACGTTTTATTTAATAACCTCCTGCTTTTTATTTTTTGCTTCTTTAGATATTCAATCTAATATTTTGTAGAATCTCGTTTATTTGTTATTTACCATATTAATTCTTTATATTTATTCGAGGTTTTAACTTGAAATTTCCTCCGTGTTTTAGTGTTCTTGTCGCTGCAGATTATATTATCTCATTTACGTTGGTGAAATTAAGATCAATATCTTTTATTACTTCATTGATCGCTTCGTTTGCTGTTGTAATAATGTTTAGTATTTTTTTTTTAAATGATATTTGATTTTATTTAATCTTTCACTTCTTTCCATCTTAATGTCTTTTTTATTAATTCGCCTATTAAATTATTTTTCCTTTCTTCGACTTATCTGTGTCGCTTTCTGCATATCTTAATTTGTTTTCTTGTTCATGAATTTCTTTGTCATATTTATATGTTAATTGGACTTTTATCTCTATTTCATACGCATCTTGACTTGTGTTTTCTAATGATCTTCTAAATATGGCCTCGCCAGATCAAGATATTCATATAGTTGACATGCATAGTACCAAAATCGTTCAGGGTTATCTAAATTGTCAGCTGTCTATAGCCGTTTTCTCAGAAATTAAAATCGATTCGAGCAACGTAAACCTGTAAGTCTTCCCATGGGTTATCCTTCTTTGGTATTTTGTGGATTGGTGCTACAGAATCATAAACGCTAAGGTGTACGAAATAAAAAAAATGCACATCACGCGAGGGCATGCAAAATCAGCAACAACTAAAATGGATAGCACAAATTATGACGTAATCAAATGTTGCCATTCCACACGACTTCAAATAAAAGGTGAGGAAGGAAACTCCCATCAATACTGGAAAGAGCGATAACAGCTACTGGCCTTGAGAAGAAAAAATAGTGACATATTCAAGATGTTGATATTTCACACTACATCAAGTAAAAGTTTAGGAAGGAAACGTCCATCAATGCTTTGTTTGTTCTGGCTGTGGGTATTGTAATGACCCATGAAACTGTTACAGATTCTATGTCTTTAAACAGGTCTAGGCGATATTCATACCAGTTTTTTTTTCCGTAAAATTTGGAGATTTTTCCAGTTCGGATATTGCATTGTCATGATGTGATTTATATACGGTGAGTGGATATACGGACGGTGCAACCTGATACAGGATGGTCAGTTGCATATTTATCACATAATCTGCATTTCGGATTAACAAAATCTTTCAGTATGTTTGTTTGTTAATTTCTAATTAGTAAGCATTGGTCCTGTGCAAAAACAATAAAGCATCGGTTTCAGCTTTTAACTCTATTTAACACTATGTAAGCACTGATGGAGTTTTTCTACAACACCTTTTGTTTGGTGCGAGCAGATTATTGACAATGAAGAAAAGCTTATAGTGTCATAGGCTATTCCTTTTGGTCCACTGTATTTACTTGTGCTTCCTTTTTAGTCTCTTTGCCACTGAAGATGGCATGGCATGGATTATTTGCATATCTCCTCCCCTCTTGAAATTCCATTTTTAATTTTTGGCTTCCATTGATTCTCGATGGATAACTTGTCGTCTAAATTACGCAAAAAAAATATCACTGACATCTCATTTTAACGAATATATTTA